CCATGTGGCCTGTCTGTGTGGCCTGTCCATGTAACCCATCCACGTGGCCTGTCCATGTGGCCTGTCTGTGTGGCCTGTCCATGTAACCCATCCACATAGCCTGTCCATGTGGCCTGTCTGTGTGGCCTGTCAGTGTGGTGACCACCGTCCCGACTACAATGTTGTTGTGGAAGAGTCAGCAGCATTTGCGTCCGTAGCCACTCACACCGGCCTTAATCACAAGTGCTCCTAGGACCCTTGCGTTCGACGTGTCCTGGCCCATACGCTGCGCCGTGTTCCTGTGGCGTCTGGCCTCACAGTTCTGCCTTGCCACGATCTTTTGAAATGTAACTTCTGCTCTTCAGCTTTTCATTGTTTTCTTCACTGAATACGGATGAACTTGTTTTCTGTGACCAGTAATGGGTCACTGCCCTCAAGGCAATATTCCACCCCGACCTCTGCCCAAATGGCCTACTTCTTATCAATAGTTCCAGAAGGTTTTATAGCTTTCCTTTAAGAATCGAGACAAAGCAAGAAGAAAACGAAAACTACTAGTGTCAGAAACTAAACCAGAAGTTTAACATATGCTATAAAGGCATCGTTGCCTCTTTTGTGTTATTCACTATTTAAATAAATATGAGGTATCTCTGAAGTAAAATAAAAATACAAACATGGAAATAATTCCAAGGAAAATAAGTTTTATGCATAAAAATTAAAGATTGATTTAGCATTTTTTGACTTAGGTTTCCAAGTAAAAATCAAAAATTAAAGTTTATAATAAACAATATATCAATATGAGAATGAACTATGATAAAGAATTAAAGGAACACTTTTTCTTTATAATCTTCTTATATAAAATTTAATTTTTTCAGAGTTTCATCTTGTGCTAAAAAAGCCTATTGCTTTGTGTTTTCAGTAGTGAACCCTATTTAGAAAAAACTTACAAAACCTTAGTGAAAATTGTAATAATTACAATTTTCACTAAGGTTTGTCTGAATTTAACTAGACATTTTGAATATGACAAAAAGTGTATCATATATTTTACATAACATATATATTAAAGTGTTAGCACATAGGTTGTTAAACTAATAAGGTACAGGCACTGTTCTAATAGTGTTTATTCTTACATTAAGATAATAGAGATGAAATATGTTTGTCCAGTTTCATCAATTAAATTAACAAAAAAATACTATAAATTCACTTCTCTTCTTAGTGTGAGGTTTGCTTTTACTCTGTTGATGTGATTCACATCTGAAGCCACTACCTACATCTTTTGAAATGTAGACAGCAAATAGTGATTCAAAAGCTTTGAATAACTCTCAGCTGCTCGGGAATTACCTCACCTGAATTTGAACTGACCATACGGTAATGTACAGAACACTTCCTAATAGTTCAAGTTATCTTCCCATTAAGCTCCACATGGAGAAGCCGGGAAGTAGTCTCACTGGTTGTGGATGCTTCTGAGGGTGGGCAAGGCGGAGGGTTGGGCAGGGGCGGGGAGTTACGGACAGGCGAAGATTTTATATGAAGAGTCCTTGAGCCTTCCACTCTTTGCAGCCCACAGACTTCCACCCTGTGTGATTTCATGCAGCGTCAGGGGGTAAGTACTCCTGGGAATTGAGGATTTCTGGGACTTTATCCACAGCTCAGACTTCTTCCAGAAGTCAGATCGCCTATTTGTGGCTGTTTCCACCTGGAAGTTCCATGGGCATTTGAAATTCCAAAGTCAATGCCAGTCAGTATTCCAGTCTCCCAGCACCAGCCATGCTCTTCCTGCTACATTGTCCCCCTAAGCATGTTACAGTCACGCCCTACTAATTCACCGCAGGATCCATGCACTGCTTTCTCATATTTAAAAGTCAGTTTATTTTTAAAGTAGCTTTCAAGTTTCTCCCCCTCCCCCTGTTCCCTGAATTCCAGCCTCACCTTCCTCGTGATGATCGACTCAGCTGGGTCTCATCCTCCGGACCACCCCTCCTCCAAGCCACCTTCTCTACTTCAAACCCACTGAGACCTTTCTGAGTTGTGATCTGACCACACTGTCAATCACTTAAAGTCTGTGGCAAGCCACCACCCCTTGCCTTCTGTCCACACACAACAAATGCACCTGGACTCCAGCCCTGCCTACGTCATGATGTCTCATTGTGCTAGATATAGTCGTGACCTACACCTGTCTATCTGATGCTCTCCTGCCCTGTGGCATCTGTGTCTCCTCCCGCTGAAGGAGCCACCCAGGGAAAGCTTCCCTGGCTTTCTGTGTCCCACCTCTCTCAGATTTAGATGGCCAGTACGTGCCCTTGGTAATACCCTATGACTTGATTATAGCAATGCTTGCATTGAACCTAATAATTTACTTACTTATTGGCTTGCTCTTTTTTGTTTGTTTGTTTTATTTTTATTTTTGGCAGAATCAGGGATTGAACTCAGGCCTTTGTACTTGCCAGGCAAGCACTTATTCTACTGCGCTATCTCCCCGGCCCACAAAATATTTATTTATTTATTTGATACAGGGTCTCACTAAGCAGCCCAGACTCATAGTGATCCTCCTGTCACAGCCTCCCCAGTGCTGTGATTACACGGCATGTGGTACTGGGGATCGAACTCTGGTCTTTACACTTGCCAGGCAGCTGCTTAGACCGCCACGCTATCTCTCCAGCCCTTGGCTTTCTCTTTAGATCTAACTTCTTAGAGTACAAAGACTATGCCTCATTCACCTTAACAGTCTCAGTACTAAGCAAAGGTCCTTACTAATATCCAATTTATTTGTTCACAAATATCCACTTGAAGCATTTTTCATTTGCACTATTTTAATGGCAAGACATATGAATGATTTTGATGACAAATAATGTAGCAATTAAGACTGAGTCCTTTTTTACCTGTCACTGGAAAAGTGTAATCAAGCTAGCTGTTGTATGTTACAGATCAGAAAACTGACGTATATATCAGAGAGAGAGAGAGAGAGAGAGAGAGAGAGAGAGAGAGAGAGAAACAGACAGACAGAGCTTTGAACAATTCCTGACATATAGTGTTCAATAATATGAGTAGCCATTAACTTTAGTTTCTATTAAATCTCAACATAAAATTATGTGGTTGCCTTCAAACTGGAAGTCGCAGCTCTCCCGAAATATGAGTGGCAGTTTTCCATCATTAGTGGGATGTGACTAATACCCACCTGTCACTTTTCTTCCTGGGAATTGCAAAAAGCACAATGTACATGAGTAGACTCTGACACTAATAATGAACCCAAGGCCAGCTTCTCTGTGTGCTCCGCAAACACAAAGAAAATTCTGGAGTGCAGGGCCTGTGGCTGCTGCCTTCCCCTGTACAACTGCTGTGTAGGAGAAGCAGCATCCCTCAGGCCAGCTGCTGAGGCTGCACATAATGAAGGCACAAGCCAGCCTTTACCTATCACCCAGGATATAATGAGCATCTCCATCCACGAGAAGCAGGATGTCTTCATCCTGAACAGCTGCTTGGCATTATCTGTGCTGGTTTCGTTAGGCAGGAGTTTAGTGCCTTCGAATCTGTCGGCTGCATTCATGACTAGAAGTCCCAGAAAAATGGTGAAGGAGGCTGCATGTGCCACAAACTTCATAAACGGTCCGCGCATTATCTTCCCCATCTGCCAAATGCACACCAGATAGACACCTTCACTTTGTATGCTTCACAAAACACACACACACACACACACACACACACACACACAAACTTAAACATCTATACCTTTCAGTGTTCTTCCAAATTACCTGTGTGAATTTATATACTTAGAGACAGAATAATAACTTCATGTTGTTATGAATTTCCATCACATTTTAACCTACATGTGATGCTTTTAAATAATAATTGAATATATTAACTTTTCTATTAAGAATAATTAAATTATTAAAATATTATATTGGTGGGAAAAAATGCAGAACATAAAGTCAGCCTTATTTCTAGATAGAAAACTAAAGTTGGTGGGCCTGAAGTGTGGCCACGGGTGCAATCAAATTATTAAGCTGAACAGCCAGCATGCAGACCCCGAGGCATGGGGTGCAGCAAGTTTATAAAAATAACTGTAAATAGGAAGACTGTTGAATAACTTTAAAACTATTGACCTAGAAAATAATAATAATAAATAATAGTAGTACTAGTTATTTTTCAGGACTAGAGATTGAACACAGGATCTTCTCACTGATTCCTTTTTAAAACATATTTTTAAAGGCTTGAGCACATCCCTAGTATTTTAAAAACTATTTTTATTCTGAGACAGGCTGAGCTCAAACTTGCGATCCTCGTGCCTCAGCTTTCAGTTCTGGGCTTACAAAGTGGGCATCGCCTTGCTGGCTAACCCGGAAAGCTGCGAAGAACAAGCATAAAGAGTACTTGCCTTTCGGCATCATCTATCAGACTCTCTTTAGGCATCTATACTTACCCATCCAGAAAACATAGAAATGAAAAGTGTTAATGTTAGCCTAGTCTCATGTAATGTAAAATTCCAGCATCACTTATTTTGGTTGTAATAAGCATGAAACAAATGCTCTTTGGGTAAAAATAGTAGAATAAGAACAAGGAAGGGCAAAAAGACTCCAGGAAGGAGAAAGAAAAAGCTTGAAGACTCAACAAAACTAACATCAAGTAAAAATAGGGACTTGCTGAAGAAGATGCATAAGCCTTGGATTAGATTGGGGCTAATTTTCATGGATATAGTGGAAATTCTAAAATATTTTAAATACATTTCATTAAAAGCATCCATGTAGGTAGAGCTAGGTCCCCCTTATGAAAAACCTTCTGACTAGGGCCGGCCATTTGGCTCAGCAGACTAAAGTGCCTGCTTAGGCGGATGCAGGGACCAGGGTTCCGTCCCCTGTGTGCCATGCCAGCCCCACTCCCGGGCACACTGAGATGGAGACTGAAACAGGTTGTGGTGGTGCGCGCCTATAACCCCAGAGCTTGGGAGGCTGAAGACAGGAGGATCACTACAAGTCCGATCTGTGTAGTGAAATGCTGTGGAACCTGTACTAAATACATTTTAAAAAATTAAAAATTAAAAAAGAACCTCTGACTTGTACATCATGTTGATCTCCAATGCTAAGGAGAAAGACCACAAAGTGGACCAGCTGCAGGGATAAGTGATGGTTGGTAAAACAGATTCTCAGCTTGAGGAAACATTCCTGACAGTGTCTATTTAATTTGCTCATTTGCCTCAGTGTGGGTACATGAAAATGGAAACCAGATGCCAGCAAGAAACATGAACAGAAAAGAAGGAAGAGCGAGGGCACCAGGCTAATAGGGATTCAATCAAGATTTATGGAATGTGTAATGCTAACGATGGCCGTGAGTAGCCTGAGTCAGAGAACCAGACGCTGCAGAAGGCTGCGTGATTTTGTGCTCACTGGTAACGCGAAAGCAAAGTTATACAGTGTAGAAAAAAGATTATTCTTGAACTGACCACAGAGTGGAGACAGGTGAGTGAGAAACCCTCTGCCCTTTTTAAATCGGTTTGAATTTCTGAAGGTTTCAAAAATCTGAGTAGGACAGGTTACATACATAAATGTAGCTTATGCTCAAATGAGGACCATTTAGAAAAATTTTTTGGCAAAATGATTGTCATTCCTATGGAAAGGAAAAATATAATTTTCTATAAAATGTCTGTCTATTGATGTTGTTTTAATAGCTCTCTTTTAAATTTATAGTCTTCATTTATACCATATTGATATGAGATCAATTTTTAACATTATACATTTTAAGATGATAACAGAACAAGATGTCAGCATTCCTTGGACTTTTGGGGGGAATGAAGAATGGAATGAAATGAAAAAAAAGTAAAAAGTTTGTTTGAAAAGAAAAAGTGAAGGATAGGGGAGAAAATGGCTCCACGGGGCAGGCTTGAGCCAAAAAACAAAGAAAGAGCAAAGGACACCGCAGGACACGGCGGGCAGGAGAGCCATGGCCACTGTGCCACAGGAGGGCAGGCTGGAGACCTTCTGAAGACCTTCTGACCAGAGCCTGAGCAACTGGTGTAGCTGAGAAGATAAGCCAGTTCTGCTGTTGGGTTCTAGTGTATCTTGTTTTTGATATAAACATTTCACTAACAAAGGCACCATATTAAAAAGTATATCACAGTCTTTTATTTAATTATCTGCTCATATTAGCTAAAGAAAATGCAAAATGCTTACTTCAAATATTGCTCAAGGAGAATCATTTCAAGGATATCATTTTCAGTATCAGTTGAGTGATAGTAGGACCTCATTAAAAATAAGTACGAAATTATATTCACACAAGTGCCTAGAAAAAACTCTAAAAAGCCCTAAGATGAGAATTAAGGCTTACTTTCCTTTACTAGTAGTGGTTGATATTACAGGTGAAGCCTTTCTCCTTTCCATTTCTTTTTATGTTTCCAGTAGCAACTGCATATTGTTTTGTACTATTAAAAACAAAGATTGCCTAAGCTTGCGTACTTTGCTGGACTTCTCCTTTGGACAGCACTTCTGCCTGATTAGACACACCTGAAGGAGATACCCGAGCCCAGCTTCACAGACATACCTTGCTGCAGGGGGCACACCAGTAAATCAAAGCCAGGAAGGGCAGCCCAAGGGCCACCCCAAGGACCACGAGGAACTTGACCGCCATCGTCTGCTGCCGTAAACCAGAAAGGTTCTCGTACCAGATGGAGAGCAGCTGCTGCTGGCAGTTGGGGTGGGCCACAAACTGGCAGGAGGGGACAGAGCACGTAGGAGTCCAGTTAAGACGAGCTCAGCATGAGTTCTCTCATGTACAACATTCAGTTTAGTGCTTTCCCGTGGAAAATAGTCAGAATTAAAAAGCAAACATAAAACATCTAATTACAGGCATCAAGCAAGATGGCAAGAAGTCCTAATATGATTGTGCAAACTGAGGTTTCTAACTTATCAAACTTTCCCCATGTGACAAATGAACCTTCTTTTAAAGCATAGAAATGTGTTTTTGAAATTTAACATTATAGGGGTGGGGGAGATGGCACAGTGGAATAAGTGCTTCCCAGGCAAGTGCAAGGGCCTGAGTTCAATCCCTGGTTCCTAAAAGAAAGAAAGAAAGAAAGAAAGAAAGAAAGAAAGAAAGAAAGAAAGAAAGAAAGAAAGAAAGAAATTTAACATTATAAAAAGATTCGGATATTTTACGTAGGGGCATTAGAGCATAGATCTGCCTACCTGCCTACCTACCTATCACCTATGTCATTCTACCTAGAAAGAATGATATAAAAATTATACTGTCCCAGGTGAATATTTTTCTAAAAATAGTTTGATATGATTTTCTTATATGAATTAAAAATGCCACAATTATTTTATCCTAAGTTCTCAACTGTACAGAGGTCTGCTTCTGGGTGGTCTCTTGGGTTCTCCTGATAGCTTCTGTTATTCTTGTGCTGAAAATTTCCTTAGTGAAAGTAATTTTAATGTTCACTTTTTAATTTTTCAGGATTTTAAAATTATCATTTTAATGAATCTTATTAATTATTTTTATTTACATAAAACAGAAAATAAATTTATTGAATATACAAAAAGCAATAACACAAACTAAAACTTTATATAAAAACATTAGAATGTTATGAGACTTAAGCCTGGTTATCTTCAAAGGTAATCATAACAAGATCTAATATTTGTCTGCTCTAAATGGTAAAGCTGGGTAGCACCCACTGTGTGGATGCAAGACTCCCTCTTATAGTCTAGTGATGTGTGTAATTGCTGTATCCTCTTTTCAAAGGAAAACTTAGTGAATGCTTTCAAATTTAAAAATAAAAACTTGACATAGTAATTTCATATATAGGAATTTTTTCTGCAGATAAAGTCATGCAGTAAACAAGCTCAGTATTCACTGTGCAAAAAGACAACTGGGGTAACAGCTCAAACCTAAAGAACATAATAAAGACCCTTAGAGAACAACCTCATGTAACGGGTAATAACATGACAGTGTGGCCCTTAAGGAGCTGAGTGCACTCTTACTGGCTGCCACATGAAGGTGCCCCGGACTCGGGCAGGACGTCCACATGGAGGTGTCTAGGTGCAGATTTGTGGAGAGAAACACTCCCAAGTGGTTATTAATCTCCATGAAGAACATGACAGGCTGAGAGGCAGCATGTCTGTACTGTCTGAATATTTAACATAGCAGGGGTCACCTTTATTATAAAAACGTCTACCTAACTAAAAAAATGTAAAAACTTATGTCCTAAAAATGACTCAGAGCAATAAGGGCTACAGAGTGAAGACAGAAACTAAAACTACTCTACGATCCAGCTGCAAGGGATTCAAACACAGGAAAGAGGAAACCGTAGGCAATGATCTGAAGCTGGGGAGCATCAAGAAATGGGAAGATGGGTTGGAGCCCGAAGTGCTGCAAGAGCGCACGCACCGCATAATAAATGCCGCGTCGTGCGGGTGCACGAAGTCGTTGCTAATGGCACGACTTAAAGAAAGCAGCAGTCACCGTGAACTTCTGTATAAATAAGGACAGCTTTCAGGGCTGAGGGGCGGCGCGGGCTGACACCTCCCCGAACGTAGGGCTTGCCTAGATGGTCTGCTAACAATTCGTATAGGGAAGCTGAATGAGAAGGGCCCAGCTCAACCTAAAAACGCAGGACTTAGCTTCCTCAGCACCGCTGCTGAGAGTGCAGTAACGAAAGCGGGCTCCGCACCCGACCCTACCTTCTTCACTTCGTATTTAATGGCCAGCTTTAAGCGGCTGAGGTTCGGGCGGCCCTGGTCCCCCGGCTGGCGCGTCTCCACATCCCCGTTCAGAATGGCCTCGACCTCCTCGGTGTTTCGACACAGGTCAAGGAGTCCAACCACAAAATCTTTGCACTGCATCGACAGCTTTCTGTAGTCATTCTAAAAAAAAGACAAAGCAAAATAAATTATCATGTGTACTAGACTGCATGTAAGTTTTGAAGAACTGAAGATTTTTCAAGAGAAAAAAGTGCCTCGTTTTAGTTTCACTATTTTCCAATCACTCTCCTGCTGCCTGAACTCTAAAATATTTTAGCACTCTATAATTTTCTTCAGATTTTACAAAATGAAAATTGCCCTTACATAGTAAAGATATTTAAAATAAGCACATGATAGGAAACTCACCTGTTGTCTCAGGAGAAACAGGAAGTAAGCAACTTTTCCCACAGACTTACACTCCTGCTTCCCATGCCTATCATGTACTGTCCTAACCCCCTTGCTACACACACAGTATGCATTACATGAATCTTGTAAGATTTTAGTAAACTGCGTTGGGACACTTGGAAATAGGACATTCGTGAAGGTGCCGGAGAAAAGTGAGTACACATCAAGTATTTGTTTTAACAAATCGTCATTTTAAAAGTTCATGTGCCAAGAACAAGGCCAATGAGCTCTAAACTCTTCAAATTGAGATCCTTCTTTTTAGAGAAAAGAGAGATCAATTAAAATGCATTTGTTGTTGGGGTTTTCCAGCTTGCTGCCAATGACCTACTACTCTGTTAAGACAGTTTTGAGGGTACAAGTCACACTAAAATTACCAGAAACTCATGTCATTCTTCTACACAGCATCTATTCACATTTTCATTCAGGTCTTTCTAATAATTTCTTCTTTTTTCCTTACACTGAAATAAGGCCATGCGTATCGAACTGCTAATCAGGAAGACCTATTTGCTAGGGCTTGTTGTGTTACAAGGGAGTGATATTTGATTTAATCTTATAATAATCTTAATTAAGGTAAATAATGTGTCCAAAATCACTTAGCTAGTGACTGTTAAAATCTGACTTCAAACCTAAATTTGTTTGGCTGCAAACTCTTTGCCTTTCAGAATAGTGTCACTTCATCTGTTATTTGTAGAAGGATTTCCTATTTACATCCTTAAAATAAAGGAGGTGGGCATAAGCAAGGCAAATGCTATTCTTGTTTTGCACATGAAAAAAAAATAGGTTCTCTGAATTCACAGTTTTGGTGGCAAAGTTTTTCTTAAAACCAGCTTTGTAGAGTTAAAGTTAATTATCTCCTCATCCTAAAATTGTCATGCATTATAGGTTGAAAAGGTCCCTGAGATGGATCCTGAGAGGACTATGATGGAGAAATACATGTGATGCTTGTGGTCAAGTGCAAGTCTCTCTGGTCATAGCTCCTCGCTGAGTATGTATAAAGCATCATGTGGGCCCTCCTTTGTAAACACTTTTCAAAGTTTAGTAACCACTACACAAGATGCACTTTGCTGGTGTAGATTCAAACCACTTTCTATGAAAGCAACTAATAAAGCAAAACATGTCTTCTCTGAGAATGGCTCAGACTGTTTCTAACCAGGTCTCATTGGATAGTGCAAACAGGATTATGAGGAAACAGCTTTCAGAACCCAGCCGATGAGGACTCTGGGGACCAGTCCTGAGGCAGCAGAGCATTCTGACCAGGGCTACCACAGCATCCTGGTTAGTAGTCTGGACTCCTCCATTTGCATTCAAATCTCAACTTTTGGGGCCAGGGAAATGGCTCAGTGGAATAAGCGCTTACCTGGCAAGCACAAGGGTCTGAGTTCAATCCCCGGTTCCGCCAAAAAAACAAAAACAAAAAAAACTCAACTTTTCCACTTATTAACCACATGACCTTAAATAAGTCAAAACCCTCCTGTAAGTGGTATTTTTACTCTCATTTTACGGATGATAACACTGTAACTTAGCAAGATGAAAGAAGGGTTGGAAAGGTCACACATGCAAAGTGTTTAGTGTGGCGCTGAGCATTTATCAAGCATTTGAGGAATTATAACTATTTTACATCATCAAAGGCAAATGCTAAAAACTGGCTATCTATAGATACTCATAAGACATGTTGGGGCAGCAACAAAGCTTAATGCACCTGGCTTGTCTTGCTTACAAACTCAATTTTAGAAGTCTGCTTCATCCATAAAGGTAACAAAGTAACAGCCAAAACCAGTGCTCTCTAGAATTCTGGTGAATGCTCAGGTAAAATCAGACATTTTGAAAGAACCTGATCCTTCTAGTGTGAGCAATACTTTTTAATAGAAAGACATGAATTGAAAAAGTCACGTTCCCGGCATGCAACGCTGGGGATTGAACCCAGGTCCTTGCACTTGCCAGGCAGGCGCTTAGAACACTGAGCTATCTCCCTAGCCCCTGCAAATGTTTTAAGTTCCACATTTTAAGGTTTATAAATTATCAGGTTGACTCATTTAAAACAAAATGTTTGGTACATGATTAGTCAGCATGCAAGGCTCTGATTTTGACTCCTCGAGAGGAAAATTGAAGATAACAGGTTGGCTTAATTTTGGATCTTGCATTTGAATCACACATTTATACCATACATAATAAATAAGAATGGATAATAAATTAGAAATGGATATTTGCCTACTAATCTCCCAGTTGAAAAGAAATGAATGACAGTAAGCTAATAAAACACAGTTTAGGGTCAGGGAGATAGTTCGGCAGTCTAAGCACCTGCCTGGCAAGCACAAGCTCTGGGGTTTGATCCCCAGTACCGCATGCTGTGCAGGCCCTGCACCGAGTGGGGCACTGAAATGGGCATGCATGGCGGCGCACACCTGCAGTATTAGCAATGGGAGGCTGTGACAGGAGAATCACTATGAATCTGAGCTGCATAGTGAGACTCTGTACCAAAGAAATAAATGAATACATCTTTAAAAATAAATAAAACAGAGTTTATAAACTATAAAAATTAAAAATATCACTGTTAAAATTATGACCCTTTCTAAGCACCACCCTAAAATCATTGGATTTCACATAATTAAAGAAATATTATGTTGTCTAGTTTTAATCTCTAGATCTTCTTTCTATATAAAGAATGAAGTTTCCCAACATTTGTTGTGTCAGGAAAATGCATGTGGATTAGTTTTGTAGGAATCGACTGTGCAGGCTTTGCAGGAGGGCAGACCTGGGTTTGCAAGAAGCCTCCGGCTGCTGCTTTGTGGCTCTGCACAAGTGACTAATTGCTTAAAGCCTCAAAAGCCTCATGGGTAAAATGGGAGCAAGAGTCGCTGTGGAGATTATGCAGGGCAGCAAATGCCTAGACAAGAGCAATGCTGATTAATGGTAATTAATGGTTAGTATTGTCGTCATTTTCCAAGCCATGTCTAACTCTTCTCAGCCCTCTTGACAAGATAGAAGCTGTGTAAAAAAGGATTATGGACACGCACTGCATGACCAGAAATACAATGTGCTCTCCAGATTGTGAGGAATGGCCAGCCTGCTACTGGGGCCAAGTGCACTCTGGGACTTTCCTGTTCTGCAGAAATATTGTCACTCAATAGTACAGTGATCACCAGGCTCTGTCACACTTGATGTGGTGATAACTGCTGAGCACCTACGTGGAATTGTAAGGGACCCAAAAGTAGGTTAGGTAGTATCCTGAGGAAAAGTTGAAAAAATGGAATACAATTTCAGAACAACTGTCAAAACATTTCCCAAGATACAGATGAGGTCACTAACCTTTCTGTTGATTATTAGCATGAACAACATCTGCTGGTTTAACTCAATGCAGTGTTTCATAACCATCTCTTATCCCTCCCTATCATAGGAATTTTAAGGCTCCATTGAAGCTACAAAGTTAGAAGAGCAAGAGTGAAGATAAATGAGCGACTTCTGGTGCTAGGACCCCTCACAAAGGACATACTTAATTAACTTCCCCCTCTAATTGTGTCTTTTCATAGACCTAAACCTCTACGTTTCAGGCTGTGATAGGAAATTCAAAGACAAGAACACACACACACACACACACACACACACACACACACACACACTATTTCACTGCAATTACTTGTGTGCACACCTGCCTCTCTTGCATAGATGCAAACAGCCATTCAGACAGAGTTCCGTCTGACGAAGGCTTTGGGACCTCACAGCCTAGCATGGTGTGAAGCACGCAGTAGGCAACCAGCAAATTTGATTGATGGGCATGAAGAGAGGAGTATGGTTGGGTGAAAAACACAGCAGGATTTGAATTCCTGATTTGCCATGTGTTAACTACATAACATTGGAAAAGGTACTTCATTTTCTGGCCTCCTAGTTCTGGAGAGTTTATGTAGTGATACACTGGCAAAGTTAAAAGTGTAAATAATTTAGTGCTAGGCCAATTCATAGTGAAGTGACAGCCTGTGTCATTCTGGAATGTCACTGCAGCTTCCTACCAACAAAAATTACTTTTCAACACAACCAGTTTCTTTGTCTTGAAAACAGTGTCAGACACATCTGGCCATTGTGCACCAGAACATAGCAACAGTTTAGAAACAGATCTGGCAGGAGTTTCAGCACTATCCTCTTTCTCCAAGCCAGGGGCAGAAGCATCTGGAGGGCCATGTGTGCGTCAGCACGCAGGCCGCTGGGAAGATGTGAGGAAGCTGGACACGGCCCAGCAAAGCTGTTCACTCAGGTCTACAGAGAGGAGAACCACCCTGCTGCACAAAAGTAATGACTGTGGCCAAATAAAAGACTACAGGAATTGAATGAGAGATTTAGGTCTTTTGCAGATGGGAAAGGGCCCTAGAGATGGGGGTGAGGACAATAAAAAGAACTAAGATATGTTCAATACATGTGCCTCCTCTCTAAGATGAATGTAACGTTATGTACTAGGAAGAAAAACACAAAAAAACAAAAAGAAATGACTGAAGCGCTGAGTCTGCTGAGCTCTCTTGCCTGCCCCAAAAGACAGTTTAGAGACACTGTGTTAGGCTGTATACAGATACTAAAAGGAATTGATCGCTTCCCTTTTAAATTTGTTGTTCCTGATCTGAGCTTAGATTTGACTCAAGGAGTAAAGCCCAGAGATTTTCTTTACATATTTCTTTGGTATCAAAACCAGCCAAGGGGGCTTGCTGGATAGCTCAGTTATTCAAAGCATCAGT